AAAGAATCTATATAATAGTACAAAGAACACTCAACAGGTGCGGGCTCTATTGAATCTTTCCCGACCCGCAAACGTCGACCATATGGCTCTTATAAAAGACCCTCCAAGCATTCCCTTGAACTATTAACTTGCTAATTGTGCTCCTGCTCAGATGTCTGCATACCCGGGTCACACATCTGAGCATGCGTCAGGAACTTCTCGCTCTCGTCAAGTAACGGATCTTAAGAAAAACCATGACTGTGCCAACCATGGACCAGCTAGAAGAAGACCTTCCAGATCTTGAAAAGGTCCCACAACGCTCTTCTCCCCTTTACCGTCGCGAAAAGCATCTCTCCTCGGCCATTTTAACTAGTGAAATCGATTATGTGTTTGCTCACAGCACGATTCAGCAAGCTCTCAGACCCCATCATGCTCGCATGCTCGGGTTTATTGCTGATCATGACCTGTCTGTTTTACCCCCCAGCGGCTTCCTGAGTTGGGGTCTAACCCACCTTTTGGATACCTCCTCCTGCCGTTCAGCACCGACCCTCCAACGGGCTTACTCCACAGCCATAGACACTGCCCGAATATCATGTCGAGATTACGGGTTTATATATGTTCCACCATTGATCGATCTTTTACCTCAGACCATCATACAGGTTTTCCAAATGAAGACCACCATGGATACTTGGGTGGAGACTGTCTCAATGTCCGACCGACAAGAGTTGGAGTGCAGTCTAGCAGGGTGCTCCATTGTCTGCTATGGGGACATAATACTGTTACAAGTCAGTTCAAGAACGTGTTATGTGGTCCCGTACATCTTGCTTCTATGTCTCAGCGACATAACCAACAGCTGGTTTAGTACTTTGCTCTATTCACATCTGTATCGTGATAAGTACTCGGGTCATGATCTGTATGAAGAGACCTGGCGAGTTATCGTGTCAGGTTACCAGACCCTGCATCTGCTACACGAGAGCTCCTATGCCCTTCTCAAAATGTGGCCATCATTAGTTATTAGCGTGATCCTACGTGACAAAGAGAATAACCTCCTTTTTTGGAACACACTACACGAATCCATTCCAGAAGAACGAAGGGCAACCCCTCTTTACCACTATATGACTCAAACAGTCATAACTCGCGACAACGTTATGTGCGCTCTAGAAATGTCTGGTCTCTGGAAAATCTTCGGGCATCCTATTATTGACAGCGTGGCTAGTGCCCAGGCATGGATGAGAAAGGGCCTTGTCATGAAGACAGGTCTGGAGGAGGCTGGGAAACTTTTAGACAACGGATTAAAGCTTGAATTCAGCAGACAGTATTACAAGAAACACGGCAAGTGGCCGAATATCGACATCACCTCTATAGCAGATCCGGAGCTACGGCGGTGCTATCTCACAAGGATTTGGGGAGAATGCCCCACACGCAGGTGGTATCCAGAAATGTTTACTGGTGTACGATTCGAAAAGACCTTCCAATTCGACTATCAGGCAGATACCATAGATGTGATAGCAGACAAGTCGATCATTCCCAAGAAAGAAGAATGGGTATATGAAATAGATTGGAAAGCTCATCGAACCCATTCATGGAAGCATGCCATAATGGACCTCCATCCACCACCAAGAGTGTCATTTTGCACTACCTGAACCAAGAGACCATATCCTGTGAAGAAATTATAAGGACCATTGATCGTGGCATTATTCCTGTTGACTGGAGAGTGATGGTGGCAGTATACAAGGAAAGGGAGTTCAAACAGAAAGATGCAAGGAGTTATGGGAAGCTCACACCAGAGATGCGGCTGTACCAGGTTATCACGGAGAAGAACACCGCTAAGATCATTTTTCGATACGTCAGACACCAATCCATGACATTGTCTGAAGAGGAGCTTGTGCGCACATTACTTAGAATGAGTGCCCCTTCCAGTACTGGGGACTACAATACATGTTCATTGTTCTAGACTTCTCCTCGTGGTGCACCCATTTCCGGAAGGAGCTCCTCGAGGACCTATTCAGAAGCTTGGACGATCTCTTTGGATTCAACAACGTGTACAGATTCACACAAACATTCCCCCATCTTTGTCACCTCATCTTTCAAGACAGGTTTCGTCCTCCCAGACAAGGAAGCAATGGGGACCCTTGTGAAGGTAGCCACTGTGTATTCGGACCTGAGGCATGGCTAGAAGGCCTGCGCCAGAAGGGCTGGACCCTTGCCACTGTAATTCTTATCTTGCTGGCCTCATGGCAATGCGGAACAACAGCCTCACTCTTGGGGCAAGGGGACAATCAAGTTATTCTACTTAAATTACCTTCCGCAAAGGTTCTAGAACAACGCGGAGAGTATGTGGACGCTTATATTGCGAGCTTCTTGCGACATCTAAACACTTTGTGTGATGCTGCCGGAATTGTGATCAAAACACAGGAGTCATGGTACTCGCGCAAACTCCTAGAGTATGGAAGAAAATACTATTATGAAGGTGCGCAGGTCAGTTGTGGACTGAAACGAGTATCCAGACTTACAAGTGAGGCCAATCAGACCCTCCCGACACTCAACACAGTTTTGTCGGGAATATTCGCCTGTGGAGCATCCTGTGCTGGAGAAGACTACAGCCCTATTCCGGCGTATACCACCACTGTTGCAGAGGCAGTTCTACTGCTCTACTCCCGTTTCCCTTGGACAAAGAACCAGCCCAAAGAGTGGATGACTGTGCTATTACACTGCACAACAAAATTGCAACTTTTGGCTGATGATTGACTTTCATTACGTGATGTTTACTAGTTTGACGTCGCTGATTCTGAATCTGCCGTCCATTTTTTCGTAGCAGCTCTTGTTTACGTGTTATAGCTTTCACTCAAAAATTGCTAAATTTCAGTCTTAATTCGCCGACAGTTCAAAAAATACTATGTTTTCTTTGTATAATTTAATATGGTAGCATTAAGAAGTGTTTGTGTGAATAATCTAAATCAATTTTGTTTCATTTGCGGAGAGGATAATGTTTAAATAATCCGTTTAAATGTGACAAAGTTCGTAAAATTGGCTTACAAAAATTAGTTTGGGGACCCAGTACAAATTAAAGATAAGCCTTGAATTCCGCAAAAGGTGTGGAAAAGATGCGTTGAGTTTTTACGTTTATAAACAAATAAGAATATGTGTAGATTTAGATACGAAACCGCTATGATCTGAAAGGAACCCTTGAACCATCGCGACGACTGTTATTTTTATTTTTGAACAAAAATGGTATTAACCAAAAAATATTGAACTAAATGGTAATTCCTTGTATACGTTTGGCATGTAGACGTCTTTTCAAACCTAAAAAGTCACCTGAACCTCATGTGGATACTTCACATGAGGATTTTGAGGCGAAAACTGTCAGTGCGGTAGAGATTTTGAATGTGACCCGAAATTTTAAAAACCATATAGCCAAGATGGTTTAAACGATCGTTTTAGAGATTTAGGATCTTCAAGTCTTCCAAAAAGACATGGAATGAGTTATTTTGGCATTTTAATTTTTTTTTTGGAAAATCCAAAAAAATCTTACTATTCTTACACATCGAAGAACGTATGAGTCACAAACATGTTTTTTTGATTGGATGTAATATAAACATCGAATTACACTCTCTTCGCAATCACCTGAACAATTTTATCACAACTCTTAAGGATCTAAGTGAAGAACATGGCGAGCAAATCCACCAGGGCCTTCGTACGATAGAGGGACGCTATCAGGGCCACTGGAATGCACACATGATGGCTGACTGCTGTTGAACCATTCAGAAGAGCTGTCTGCCTTCAGCATCAGAAAGGAAGTCATATAAAAGAAAGTTTTTTCAACTTAACAACTTCGTAAAATAGGATCATCTCTAAAAAAAGAGTGTTTTTTTACAAAAAGACCCAAGTGTCATATTTTTTTAACCAGAGCTGATACAGATATTTCAAACACAGATTTGAAATCGTTATTAAAAATTGGACTAATATGATGTAACATAACCCAATCATCAGAAATGCTGTTGTGCAGTGTTATGCATGAGCAGGACTTTTTGTATTATTATAGTACACCTACAAGGGTAAATCACCAAAGCCTGTTACTGCTGTCACACAACCACCCTTTTCTGATAGAAAACTATTGTGTTTGAAGTGTAAGGCAAATACACATAGTACAAAATACTGTACGGATAAACGGTTGTTATGTTTTAAGTGTGGTGAAGTAGGGTACACTACTAAAAATTGTGCTAAGTGTAAAAGTGCTACCAATTCAAAAAAACTAGCAGGTAACCGAAGTTATGTTATTTCAGAAGATGTCGAACCTTCTGAAAATAAACAATGGTTAGACATTGTTGATTCTTATTTCAAAAACAACAACGTTACTTCGGTTTTGTTTAAACCTAATATAAATGATGTTCGGCCATATTTAAACGTGAACATTTTAGACATGACTGTTTGCGGATTATTGGATTCTGGAGCTGCAATTTCTATTATTGGTAACGGAGCACACCAACGTTTCATTGATCTGGGTTACTCTTTGGATGAGTCGTGTGCATCAACGGTTACTGTTGCTGATGGGTCTTTCTGTAGCATGATGAACTTTGATTAGATAAATATGACTGATTAAATGGTGTTTCATTTAGAATAACCTGTGTTCTTAAAAGTTGAATAGGTGTAGGATTCCAAAAAAATGTGCAAATATTTTTTTGCACTCGAAGAATTATTAAATTTTAGTTAACAGATAGTCTAGTCAATCAGTAAAACAGTTAAGCTTTAAAGATTAACAGTATACTATAAATGATTTATTTGATGAGCAAATTTAGTGTGCAATTCAGTATTTTTGGTGGTAATTTCGAATATTTTGATTGAAAAAAGGGGATTTACAGTTAAAGTATTAAATACCACCCTAAAAAAAATAAAGAACGCAGTGAATGACGACGAGAGTCTGTCCACATTTTCGAACTCATCAATACGCAGAATTTTAAAGAAATTAAATTTTTCTTTTTCTAAACGGTCAAGAAAAAGTATTTTACTTGATAGACCAGATTTACAAATTTGGAGGGTTAAATATTTATTGAAAATTGCAGACTTCAGAAAACAAAATAGAAAGATTTATTATTTGGACGAGACATGGCTTAATGAAGGTTGTGTGTTTTGATAATTTTATTTTATTTGTGCATTTTTTAAAGACAGCCTACGACAACAGTTGGTGCCCTATTCGAAACATCATCACCGTCATCACCATCATCATAATCATAATCGTCCGTCATTATCATCAGTTCATTTACTGCAGGAGCACGACACCTCTTATTTACTTAAGGTACCAATTTCTTATTACTTAGTTACTTTAATTTCCAATTTTAAAGATTTGTAGATAATCAAATTGTTATGTTTGAGGACAATCAATCTGCCATTCATATTGCGAAAAACCCTGAACAATATAAAATATTGAAGCACATAGATTTGAAATATCATTATACTGGGTGGCGCAAAAGTACTGGTACTAAAGAAAATACTTTTTTTTTATATGACATTTTCTGTCATTTTGTTGTTGAAAATTGTGTAGTGAACAAATGTAAAATACACTGAAAATAAACATGGACCGTTTTACTCCCCAAGAACGTGGAAATAATTGTGTCAATGTTCTTACGGAATAATTCATCAGTGATAAGAACACAACGTGAATTTCGTCGACGATTTCCCCACCGTCCGGCACCGATTGGTCGCACAATTCGACGCTTTGCCACACGCCTTGAAGCAACTGGCTCAACATTGGATAGACCTAAGTCTGGGAGACCAAGAACAGGCCGTTCAGCTGAAAATATCGATGCTGTGCGCGAAGATGTGGAAGAGTGTCCAGAAACATCAACGAGGCGACGTGCCACGCAATTGGGCATTTCCAGACGGACCCTGCAGCGTATTTTGGTGAAAGACTTAAAGATGTTCCCGTATAAAACTCAAATGACTCATCAGCTGCTGCCTGCTGACCACCGAGCTCGTCTAGATTACTGCCAGCGCGTCATAAACCTCAACCTTGAAGAGGATGATTTTCCTTCAAAATTGGTTATGAGTGACGAAGCGCATTTCCATCTCTCAGGGCATGTCAATAAGCAGAATACTCGGTTCTGGGGCACTGAAAATCCGCGCATTATTCAAGAAACAAAATCAAAAAAAATCAAAATCAAAAATATTTATTCAGTTTAGACCACAAGTGGCACTTATGAACGTCAATAGAAAATAATAAAAAAAGAAAAAGGTAGCCCTTATGGGGCACTTTACCTCTACACCCACTAAAAGTTACTGTATGGTGTGGCATCTGTGTTGACAGAGTGATCGGACCCTATTTTTTCGAAGACGCTGGAGGCAATGCGATAACTGTCACTGGAGAACGCTACAGAACCATGTTACGTAAGTTTTTGATACCCAGTTTGGACGAATTTGGGCTGGAGCACATCTGGTTTCAACAAGACGGCGCTACGGCACACACAGCGCGCGATACTATGGACTTAGTGAGGGACGCTTTTCCAGGCCGAGTTATCTCTCGTTTTGGCGATTTTCCTTGGCCTGCAAGATCACCCGATCTGATCAGTCCAGACTTCTTTCTTTGGGGTTTTTTGAAATCTCGGGACCATAACATCACTTCCAAATATGCGAACTTGACTTAAATCAAGCCTTTTGCTTGTCCAGTCTTATTATTTAGTCCAGATGCTGTCGATCGATTTTTAAGATAGACGGCGGTATTTGTTGCCTCTGCCCAGAACTTTTTGACTAAGTCTGCATCATATAATAAGCATCGAGCTCGCTCAACAATTTTTTTTTTTTTTTAAAACAATGGTTCTATTTGCACGCTCATTCAAACCATTTTGTTCAGCTCAGGAGTGTAAGCATTAGTTTTTTGATTAATGATGCCGCTATCTTTGAGGAAGTTTTCAAATATATTACTGCAAAACTCTGTATCATAATCAGTCCTGAATATTTTAATTCTTTTACTCTGTTGGTTTTCTACCATGGATTTAAACTCTTTAAAATATTTAAAAGTTTCTCCTTTTTCTTTGAGAAAATAAACAAACACCATACGAGTAAAGTCATCTACAAAAATAAGGAAGTACCTTGCTCCGCCTTCCATTGGGCCGCAGACATCAGCATGGACTAGCAATGACAGACAGCATGCAGCTCGCTGCTTCTTGTTCCTGCATGACCAAATGGTAAGCGTGATTGCTTCCCTAGACAACACACTGTGCATGTATTCCTGTTGATGACTTCATTACCAGGGTAAGATATTCCAGTGACTGCACCATCTCTCATTTTGTTTTGGTCGTTAACATTCAAGAGGCCTAGTCGCCTGTGCCAGACTTCACTGCTAGCTGATGAACACGATGAAAATAAACACTTTTTCTGTTCCAAGTCCATTTTATACACACCATCAGTTAGATTTGCTACAGCTGATCATAACAAATGTTGTAACAAAAAGTTGTGAAAAGCTAATATAACTAAGTCATCATTTGTTTCAAGCTTCAAGTTGACACTGAGATTGTAAGAAGCGCCAGAATTAGTATCATTTTCCTTTGCTGTAGATTTGTAACTTTCAGGTTTCTCGGTGTTATTTGTTTGTGAAGGTCTTGTGAAATGTAGTAAGGTGTGATGTCTACGTCCACATTTTTTGCAATTTGGGCTTTGTCTGCAATGTGACACAGAGTGACCTTTTATTAAGCAATTGAAGCATAATGTTGTTTTTCTTGACATAATCTTGGCGTTCAGAAACAGGTAATGCAGAAAACTCTTTACAGTGGCAAATGTAATGATTTTGTGAGCAGTAAGTACAAGTGCTTTCGACTTCAGTGGCAAAACTTTTCACTGTAGTTGTCTTTGGTGTATGCTGAACAGATTTTGATACATCTTTTTTATAAACTTCTCGAGGTTGTGAAAGATTGACCATTTCCATTGTTCGAAATCGTTTTTCAAGGAAGTTACTTTTTGGAATCTCAGCAGAGGTTATGTCAAGCTCACTAACTGTGGTTGTGGTTGATGTAATGTCGTATTTCTTGTCTTTTAGCCATGTTTTCAGGTCCAAGTAATTTTCCTCTGTGAATTCGTAGTTTTTCTCAATGTCGAAATTATAATCTTTTTTTGAGGTTTCGTTGTTTATTATTGCTGTCAACTCACTCACACCAATAATCTCTTAATGCTTCCAAGCGGGTGTCGATATAACCTTTCGTTCTCTTGTCTTTAGGTGATTTTCTCGTATTGGTGGAAAGTTTCTCAATCTTTGTAGAGTTTTGGTTCATCACCATGATGTGTTTTGTTACACGTTCCGCAATTTTCACAAACTCGTATTTTATAGTTATATTCCATTTTGACACTGATTTCAACAATAATTACACTTTACTTTGATTACTATCCGGTTCTCCGAAGGACCATTTGGTCATTTAGTTAATTATACACTGTTTTAAAGTTCACTGTTGTTTTATTTTCTCATCATACAATTACACAGCCATGTTTTTTACCACAGACAATCAAGAAGTTTTTTTTTTATTATTACGGTCCGATCACAGAGGGAATAATCCATCCACTATTTTTTACCATCATTGTTGACGATGGCCACCAGAAGTAGGTACTTAAGCTATAACTTCGTATTTTGTATACCTGAAAATTACAAACTAATCTAGGTACTTATTATTATTAACCTACTAAACTTACCGAAGTCTTGTGACTTACCTTGTATAGCCTGACCAGGAACATAAAAACCCTCGCCATGTTGCGGAAAACTAATGGTACTAATTTCTTTTAATGGCAACAGTAACTGAAAACTTCATTGACATGTCACCTTGCATGTCAGTCTATTGCTGTCAAAGTGTAAACAAACTTTATTTTAAATGTGCGCAATTGATTTTGTGAATGAAATTGCTAAAATCTTTTTATAGTCGTGAAAGAAAAGTGGTTCACAATGTGTTAAAGTATTTGTCGAAGAGAAATACCAAGGGTTCGGACAATATTTTCATTGAATAATGTTTCCAACAAAGGTTGTCAAATTGACTGACATGTTTATTGTGTTTGAAGTGTAAGGCAAATACACATAGTACAAAATACTGTACGGATAAACGGTTGTTATGTTTTAAGTGTGGTGAAGTAGGGTACACTACTAAAAATTGTGCTAAGTGTAAAAGTGCTACCAATTCAAAAAACTAGCAGGTAACCGAAGTAATGTTATTTCAGAAGATGTCGAACCTTCTGAAAATAAACAATGGTTAGACATTGTTGATTCTTATTTCAAAAACAACAACGTTACTTCGGTTTTGTTTAAACCTAATATAAATGATGTTCGGCCATATTTGAACGTGAACATTTTAGACATGACTGTTTGCGGATTATTGGATTCTGGAGCTGCAATTTCANTCGCCTACAATCATTCAATGATAAAAATATTCAGCTGTAGATTTACTGTTTTTTAATGTGATATTTACAGTTTTCTACAGTTTTTTTTAGAATATCTACAGTTTGGCTCTATGCTGGGGTTGGCAACACTGATTAGAACAAAAAGTTTCCAGAGGGTGAAAGCCACGTTAAAAAGACGACATGATACAAGACAGGTATGGATAACACTGTCACCAGAGTTAAAAAGGGCCTATATCGATGACGATGGGAACTTTGAGATAAACGGCTACTTTGTGGGGTGTTTTTCAACTTATTATTTAATCTTTATATTATGTATATTTTAGAACTATCATTGTCATAATTTGTACATTTTTTTTATTTGTAGTTCATTTAACTAACTAGTTAGATTTTTTCTCATCTCCTATTTTATGTGTGTAACGGAAATTTATTTCCCATAACTGGCAACATTAGTCACGCACGCGACGCGCCACTCGTCGCGCGCAGACTTAACTGGCGCGCACTCTAGTCAATGTTTTAATTCCTTTAAATTACCAATTCATCGGAAAAGCAAAAATTTAAGAAAAATATCCATGAGTTTAGCTTCGAAGTGGAAAGTTTTATCTGTTGCTTATGTTTGTGGAAGCAGTAGACTACGCCTTTTGTGCGAAACACCTCCAGAAGCCAGTGCTGATATAATGCCATCACAGAGCAGTCAATCGGGTGAGGCAAGCAAATTTTCGGAAATTTTCCAAAAATAAAAGATAAAATAAAATTTTCTATCTGCAGTATTAAGTGTACTTTCCCTCCTGTTGCAATTGAACACATCACTACGACAAAATTACAGTTCACATTGACAAACTGACCGGGAGAGAAAACTACAACACATGGAAATTCGCTGTAAAGCCATACTTTTTCCTACTGCGAGCATACTCTTGTGTAAATCCATTGTAAACAATTATTACACATACTTATTTAAACTTTCAGTCTTTTAATTATTACTTCACCTCCAGATGGCATCTAAGAAAATTCCATCTAAGAAAGAATAATTCTAATTACTTATAGGTACATTAGATATTCAATCACAACAAAATGAGACATCCGAAACGATATCTAATTATGTATGCAATCAAGTACATAATTAGATATGTAGCAGTTGAGGAGCATCAACCGTTCAGTTTGGGCAAGACTGGAGTTATTTCGATGAATACAAACAAGTTGCTTTCGCATATTGGACGGTTGTACTGTTCATAATAAACAAAGATGAATGGAAAACTGCTGAATGTAATTGTCCGCAGTTTTTAAAACACTACATTTGCAAACATAATAATATCATCGGACTTGCTATTAGGTTGAAATATGTCACACCACCTGAAGAAGCAAAAAACATACCTATCGGCATAAAGCGAAAACGCGGACGTCCAAAAAAAGCAAGACCTGCCCTAATCATACAGTAAAAATATTTATAGGTGATGGATTAAAAAAAAATGCTTAAATATGCTTTGCAATGATTAGTGTATATTAAGATTACACTTTGCTGATTTTTTGTGAACTTTGATTAGATAAATATGACTGATTAACTGGTGTTTCATTTAGAATAACCTGTGTTCTTAAAAGTTTAATAGGTGTAGGATTCCAAAAAAGTGTTAAAATATTTTGTTGCACTCGAAGAATTATTAGATTTAATTTTAGTTAACAGATAGTCATTCAGTAAAACAGTTAAGCTTTAAAAATCTAACAGTATACAATAAATGATTTATTTGATGAGCAAAGGATGATGGGCACAAATGTATGGAAAGTGGTACCCGCTCCAATAGCCATAACCAATATATATTTTAAAAGGCCTTTAGATGTAGGAAAATGTCTGCTATGGGGCCAGTTCTAATTCACGTTTTGAAAGCAGTAATTCCACTAAGTATTATAATGAAAGTATAACACAATCATCCATGTATACGAGTATGTATTATGAATACAATCTATTAATATAACTAAAAGAAGCATTGAAAAGGAAAGGATTATACCTACGATGAACTACCCAAGCTATTAGCCCTTTATTCGCTTTCATCATCATCATCATGATCATTTTAGCCATAGGACGTCCATTTGAACATAGGCCTCCCCCAATGATTTCCACAATGGCCGGTTGGTGGCGGCCTGCATCCAGCGCCTTCCCGCTACCTTTATGAGGTCGTCGGTCCATCTTGTGGGTGGACTTATTGGGTCTTGTGGGTTTATTCGCTTTAGCAACTCATAATAAAACCCGTAAGAAGTAATAAAACTTAAACATAACTATTGGAGCCGGGTACCATTCTGCAAAAAAGTATGTATATCTTCGTACACAACCAGATCTGAGGCTGGTGGTCATAGTAAAAGTTGTTCATCTTGGTAAGACCTTTCAAACGATACTAGACACATATCTATTGGAGCCGGGTACCATTTTGCCCATTGTCCTTTAGTGTGCAATTCAGTATTTTTGGTGGAATTGCGAATATTTTGATTGAAAAAAGGGGATTTACAGTTAAAGTATTAAATACCACCCTAAAAAAAATAAAGAACGCAGTGAATGACGACGACAGTCTGCCTACATTTTCGAACTCACCAATACGCAGAATTTTAAAGAAATTAAATTTTTCTTTTTCTAAACGGTCAAGAAAAAGTATTTTACTTGATAGACCAGATTTACAAATCTGGAGGGTTAACTATTTATTAAAAATTGCAGACTTCAGAACAAATAGAAAGATTTATTATTTGAACGAGACATGGCTTAATGAAGGTTGTGTGTTTTGATAATTTTATTTTATTTGTGCATTTTTTAAAGACAGCCTGCGACAACAGTTGGTACCACCTATTCGAAACATCATCACCGTCATCACCATCATCATAATCATAATCGTCCGTCATCATCATCAGTTCATTTACTGCAGGAGCACGACACCTCTTATTTACTAAAGGTACCTTTATTACTTAGTTACTTTAATTTCCAATTTTAAAGATTTGTAGATAAATCATATTGTTATGTTTGAGGACAATCAATCTGCCATTCATATTGCAAAAAACCCTGAACAACATAAAATAGATTTGAAATATCATTATATAGATAGAGTTGAGAAAAACAAATTGCAGATATCTGTACTAAGCCTCTGGCTAAATTTAAATTTGAAAATTGTAGAAACAAAGTATTTTGTAAGATGTAGTTTTGAAAACTAAGCCTGGGTTGCATCATCATTTATTTGGTATTTGATACTTTAGTTAGATACGTTGCATCCCAATGGAAATGTGTTCAGAAGATTTAGAAGCAGTCAATACCTTTTTGCAGAATACTGTCAAAAACCTACATCGCAGATGGACCAGTGCTTCCAGTCAGAAGACTTTAATCAACAGACATTCTGAGTGGTTAGAGTCAAATATTCAGTGGCTACATTGCTCCAGTGTAAAATCTGAGGTTTTTCGAGGAATAGGTTAAGTTACCGAGAATATGTTAGAAGAAAATACCCCCGTTGACGTCGACATGGCGGCAATAGAAACACCAGGAACATCAAGTACTATATCTGTGGGGCACATCTACCGAGACCCGAGAGAAGAAAAGACGTTCAGAGTCCCTTCTGGACTATTCAACAGAACAACTTAGTTTTGCATTAGTGACAAAGTAAAAAATCGTCGAAAACAATTATTTAGCTCGTATTATTGATCATGTTACGAAGAATCCAGACAGTGCTGCAGTTGTTCAAAATGCATTGTTTGGAAACAAGAAGGAAAAACTCTTGATCAAGATGATGCTTTAGCCCTCTATACATCATTAAATTTGCCTAAGTGGAAATACTTGTGTTTAAAAATTGTGCTAGCTGACTATGGTGTACCTTTTCTGCCCTCAGCTAAGCTAAGAACAACTGCTATCCGCGAGAAGAAGCTGCATTAAAATAGGAGATAGATAACATGTCTTCAACGAAGTATAACTCATATAATTTATCAACTTATATTAATTTCTTTGGGCACGTATAAAATGAAGCAGGCATGCTCTTATATGGTGAACATGTACAAGGAAGTGATGGTTTTATAATAGAAGTGTACAGGAAGGTCAGCAGCAGCCTACTTTGAAAGTATTACTCAAAAAAGAAAAAAGATGTACATTTGTGAAAAAAAAAAACGTCGCAAATGTTTGAGTCAAAATACATGAGCGAACAATTATTCAGCTTCGACAAGTTCCGTCTGCATTATCGTCACGGCAAGTCTCCTGC